CACACACACACACACGCACACACACACACGCACACACACACACGCACACACACACACGCACACACACACACGCGCGCGCGCAATCACACACACGCGCGCGCGCGCAAAATTATTCAGTATGGTCCACTTGCGATTCAAGTGGACGCGGAGCCCTGGCATGGGTATTCTTCTGGCATCATGCGTTACCACTGCTCCTCCCAGCCCGCCTCAGCAAACGTACGTGCAGCTGCCTGTTTGCGTGTGTGTGTGCGCGCGCGTGTGTGTGTGTGTGTGTGTGTGTGTGTGTCTATATCTGTGCCCGTGTCTGTGTCTGTGTCCTCTGTATGTCTGTGTTTCTGTTTCTCTGTGAATGCTCCTCTCTCTATCTGTGTGTGTGTGTGTTTGAGATCAAACCAAACGTGCCAGATACGTTCTCCTACTGTCTTCCCCACGTACTGAAGCTCTTCGACTGACCCAATCGCCCATTCTCACTTCTCTGCAGCATGCCGTGCAAATTGTGGGATACGGCATCGATTCCTCCAGCGGTGCGTATCTTTCTGTGTAACTTTAAACGGCACATGCAGTGCGCATTCATGTGCATGCAGTGCGTGTGCATCTCATGTGTGCTTTCAGCACGTGAGGCCTCACTCTGCATCTCTCCTGTTTCGCGGCTGTCGCATTACTCTGCCACTGGCTTCTTGCTTTGGTGTTCCTCAGGACCTGCAATTCCATACTGGACTGTTCGCAACTCGTGGGGCGAAGACTGGTACGTGACACTCATCCCACATTACCTCGCACATGCCCCTATCCCTGCATGCATGCAAGACGGCCTGTGTGCAAAGACAACCTGTGTGCAAAGACGACCTGTGTGTACGTACACCACTCAATGTTGTATTCACACTCACATTGCCACAATGCACAAATCTTGTCTTGCGCAGGGGCGAGAACGGTTACATCCGCCTCTATCGCGGCAACAACGTCTGCGGTGAGTGCTGCCACAATCACAAAGCTATGTCCATACACACACACACACACACACACACACACACACACACACACACACACACACACACACACACACACACACACACACACACACACACACACACACACCAGCTCACATGCATGTTTTTGTGTGTCGTGTCACACACAACACCAGGTTTAAGAAACGACGTCAATTTTGCGTTTTCGCAATGATTCCCTTAACTTTTCCGTCATCACAAATAAATAAAAAATACACAACCCAAAACCAAAACCACAACAACAACTTCACCTTCTCCTTGCCCCTCCCATCATCAACCCACAACGACAGGCGAGTACAACCTTCCCCCCCCCCCTTTCCGCTGCTTGTGTGTGTTTGCGTCGTCCGTATGTGTTGTGCCGGTCGAGCAAGCAAGCAAGAACCAAGTGTGTGTGCGTGTTCGGATGTGTGTGACATCAAGCCACCTCTTTGTGTCAGCCGTTTCTGTTTCGCTCGTGCATTGGTTGCTGCTCGTTGCGTTGGCTGGTTGGTTTTGTTTTGATGTCGCATACCACTGGGCTTGCTTGTGTTTTGGTTTCTGCTCGTCCACGCCCCACATCTCTTCCTTGGCTCTGCTGTTGTCCTTTCAAGACCTTAGGGGGTAGGGGGCGCTCAGCCTTCCAATCCTTCTTGCTGACCAACCCCAACCCCAACCCCCACACTTCTCGTCCCCTGCATGTGTTCACTGGCTGACGTTGTTGCATGTCAAACTCTGCCTGTATCACGCGCAACACAGATTCACACACAACAAACTTGCACCGCTTCCTGTTAAGCCGCAAGCATGGTTGTCGTCGCCAAGGTATAGCCGACGCCCGCCCCGCCCCCCAACACACAACATACACGCACATGCACTTGATTCGACGCCCGTTGTGCGTGCGTGTGCTGTTCTCTCTTGCCTGGTCCTTGTTTTGGTGATTTGGTGGGTCGACCTCACACATGCATGGCATTGCACTCCCCCCCCCCCCGGCCTTTGCCCGTCGACGTTCACGACATTCAGGGCGACCTCGTGTGGTATGATGCGGGTGGCCAGGGCGAGTTTGACTTGCCCATTGGCGCTCGCGTCAAGCAAGCAGATTCAGGCCAGATTATCATCGTCACAGACGAAAACGAGGTGTGTGTGTGTGTATGTGTGTGTGTGTTGTATCTGTAGACGCAGCTTGTTTTTTGTGTGTGGTTGGTTGGCGCACCGGCTCTCAATCCTTGTCGGTGCTGTTTGCCTTTCTCCAAGTCCCGTCCAAGTCAGGCACTAACCCTCTTTCCTCTGCTCCCAATTGCCAGGAAATATGGGTGCCCACTGCAGAAGCAGACGCCAAGCTGAAAATCATGCATCCGACGTCGGCCAATGGCGTGGAAGACATGGTGCGTTCCCGTTGCTTTTCAGCTCCCCCCCTCCCCCTGATTCGTGCCATGCCCGCCCTTGCCCCCCTTCTCCCTCTCTCTCCTCTTTGTTTGCACATCTCACCGCTTACCGTGCACACCACGGATGTTGTTGCTTTGTTTGACCCGTTCTTTGCAGATTCAACTCGGTGATTTGCACGAAGCAGGCATCCTTCGCAACCTTCAGATCCGTTACAACGATCCAGAGGGCTGCAAGCTTTACGTAAGCTGGACTCTGTGTGTGTGTGTGTGTGTGTGTGTGTGTTTGTTTGTTTGTTTGTTTGTTTGTTTGTGTGCGTTTGTGTGCAGGTGTTTGCATGTGTGCATGACTGCCATCAGTCTCGTTTTGCGTTCTGACCCGCTTGTCTGTCGCCACACACCCCCCCTCTCTCTCTCTCGCGCGCGCGCACGCGCCATCCCCAAACTTGTGTCATCCTCCTCCTTCTTTTTCTGTGCAGACGTACACGGGTTCGATTCTGGTTGCGGTGAACCCGTACCAGGCGCTGGACATTTACGATGGCAGCCACATGGAGACATACAAGAACACCAAGATTGGCGACCTGCCGCCCCACATCTTCGCCATTGCCGACGCCGCGTACACCATGATGCGACGCGACAAGCGCAACCAGTGCTGCGTCATCTCGGGCGAGTCTGGTGCAGGCAAGACGGAGACCACGAAGCTTGTGCTGCAGTTTCTTGCCGCGGTCTCTGGCCAACACTCGTGGATTGAGCAGCAGATTCTGGAGGCCAACCCCATCATGGAGGCATTTGGCAACGCCAAGACCATTCGCAACGACAACTCGTCGCGTTTCGGAAAGTACATTGACATCAGCTTTGATGAGGATGGCGCCATTGAGGGCGCAAGCATCGAGCAGTACCTCCTCGAAAAGTCCCGCCTCTCCTTCCAGGTGTGTATGTTTGTGTGTGTGTCTGTCTGTGTGTCTGTGTCTGTGTCTGTGTCTGTGTCTGTTCTGAAGAGAGAGGCCGTTTGGGAGGTTGTGTGTTGCGTATATGTGAGTGTCATGGTACCAATGGTTTGGTTGTTGCCGTAGCCATATTCGTGTGTCTTTGTTGCGGACGTGAACCCCTCTCAGCTCCGCAGATGCGACTAATAACCCTTGACATCACACACACACACACACACACACACACACACACACACACACACACACACACACACACAACCATTGCAACCATCACACACTGAACGGTTAGGCGGCTGATGAGCGCAACTACCACGTGTTCTACCGGCTGATTGTTGGGTCGAGCGCGGAGGAGCTGAGCGCGCTCGGGCTGACCAAGTGCGAGGACTACGCCTACCTGACTGGGGGCGACTGCATCAACCTGCCGGGCGTCGATGACCGCGAGGAGTGGGGCGGCATCCGCGGCGCCATGAAGGTGCTCGGCTTCACGGAGGAGGAGCAGTGGAACATCTTCCGCCTCGTCGCCGCCTTCCTGCACATGGGCAACACCGAGTTTGAGGAGAGCGAGGTGAACAACATGATGGCGGCGGAGGTGGTCAACATGGACGCCGTGGAGAGCGCGTGCAAGCTGTTCCAGTGCGACGCCGAGGCCATGGCCGATGCCCTGACCACGCAGACCACCGTCACCCGCGGCGAGACCATTGTCAAGCAACTCGACAATGAGAAGGCAACAGACGTGCGCGACGCCTTTGTCAAGCAGGTGTACGGCCGCATCTTCGTGTGGATTGTCGACAAGATCAACTCAACCATCTCCAAGCAGAGCAAGCGCAGTGCAAAGCGCACCAGCATTGGCGTCCTTGACATCTTCGGCTTTGAGAACTTCACCCAGAACAGGTTCGCCGCGGCTCTGTTTTGTTTGCTTGGTGGCGCGTGCGTGTGTTTGAACGTGTGCGTGTGTGTTTGTGTGTGTTTGGAACGTGTGCATGTGTGTTTGTGTGTGTTTGAACGTGTGCATGTGTGTATGGGTGTGTGGGTGTGTGGGTGTGTGGGTGTGTGGGTGTGTGGGTATGCTGTTTTGTTTGCTTCTGTATGCAACATGAATGCATCCCACCGATCCCCTGACCCCCTGCTGGCTCACTCAATGCTCACATCCTCCCCTTGTAACCCTCGCCTCCCGCCTCCCCCCTTGTCCCAAAACTGAACCGCCTGCAGTTTTGAGCAGCTGTGCATCAACTTCTGCAACGAGAACCTGCAGCAGTTCTTCGTGCAGCACATCTTCAAGTTGGAGCAGCTGGAGTACGACAAGGAGGGCATCAACTGGTCCAAGATTGACTTCCAGGACAACCAGCCCGTGCTGGACATGATTGCGGAGAAGCCCATGAACATCCTCGCGCTCGTGGACGAGGAGGCCAAGTTCCCCAAGGGCACGGACGAGAGCATGCTGACCAAGCTGCACCAGCACCACGACAAGAACGGCCTGTACCTCAAGCCGCGCGCTCGCTCCGACCCGACATTTGGCATCTGCCACTTTGCCGGCAACGTGTACTACCACAGCCACGGCTTCCTGGACAAGAACAGGGACACCTTCTCCAACGACCTCGTTGGCGTCATCTCGGACAGCGAGAACCAGTTTCTGGTCAGCCTGTTTGAGAGCGACATGTCCGCCGGCAGCGAGACGCGCTCCAAGAAGCAGACGCTTGCCTCGCAGTTCAAGCGCAGCCTGGACGCCCTCATGAAGACGCTCGGCGCCTGCAACCCGTACTTTGTCCGCTGCATCAAGCCCAACGAGTACAAGAAGCCCAACATGTTTGACCGCCTGCTGTGCACGCGCCAGCTGCGCTACTCCGGCATGATGGAGACCATTCGCATCCGCCGCGCGGGGTACCCGATCCGCCACTCGTTTGCCGAGTTTATTGCCCGCTACCGCCTCCTCGACAGCTCCATCCCGCCCGCCGGGTCCAGCGCAGACAAGGAGAACGCCCTCAAGCTCGCCACGCGCGTGCTTGGCGAGGCTGGCGCTGCAGACTGGCAGGCCGGCCACACCAAGGTGTTCCTCAAGGACGCCCACGACCAGAAGCTGGAGGACGCGCGCGAGGACGCCTTCACGGACCAGGCCGTCGTGCTGCAGCGCGTGCTGCGCGGTGCCATGGCGCGCGCCCGCTTCACCGCCATGAAGTCGTCCATGCTGGTGGTGCAGACGCGCTTCCGCGCCCACCTCGCCCGCCAGCGGTTTGCGGCCATGCGCACGGGCTTTGGCCGCCTCCAGGCCACAATCCGCATGAAGAAGCTTTCCCAGAACTTCCAGGCCACGCGCACCAACATCCTCGGCCTGCAGACGCGCATCCGCGGGTTCCTGGCGCGCCAGACGCACCGCTCGATTGTGTCTGCGGTGGAGAACATGCAGGCCATCTTCTCGATGGTGCTTGCGCTGCAGCGCGTGGACCGGCTGCGCAAGGAGGCCGCGGCGGAGGCGGAGCGGCAGGCGGCCATCAAGCGCGGCCTGGCTGCAGCAGAGGCCGACCGCCAGAAGCAGGAGGCCCTCAAGCGCATCGAGGACGAGGACCGACGCCGCAAGGAGGAGGCAGAGGCAAAGCGCAGGGAGATTGCGCAGGCCGAGGCCGAGAAGCAGGCACGCGATGACCGCGACGTCAACGATGCCCAGCTCGTGGACGAGATGTTTGGCTTTGTTGAGGAGGAGGAGGGCGTGCGCGGCGAGGGCCCGCTCGGCTTCCAGGACCTGCCCGAGGCTCCCCAGGAGGAGTTTGACGCGCCGGAGGGCTTTGGCTTTGACTCGCGCGTCATCCCGGAGAGCGAGGAGGACGTGAGCCAGTTCAAGTTCAGCAAGTTTGCTGGCACGTACTTCCAGGGCAACGCCAACGCGTTCTACATCCGGCGCCCCATCAAGCAGCCGCTGCTGGCGCTGAAGAACCCGGCAGACCAGCAGGCTGCGCTGTCCGTGTGGATCACCATCCTGCGATTCATGGGCGACATGCCGGAGCCAAAGTACCAGCGCGACTCTGTCAGCCAGGGCAAGGACAACCAGTCTGTGATGGGCCGCATGTACAAGACGCTCGGCCGTCGCTTCAGCAAGAAGAACCTGCGCGAGAGCGACGACCAAGGCGCGTCGGCCGCCTCCATGTCTGTGGATGAGATGCTGCAACAACAAGACCAGCAGCAGCAGCAGGCGTCAGAGGGCGGGGATGCGCCGGAGGAGGAGAAGAAGAGCCTGCGCAAGAAGCTGGCCTCCATGACGCTGCGCAAGAAGAGCAAGATGAGCAAGGAGATGCAAGAGCAGATTGAGCGCGAGCGGCAGCGCGCGGAGGCCGAGGAGGCCGGCGAGGCCAATGACAACGCGGTCATGCCGCTGCAGCAGAGGCCCACAAGCAACCTGGAGAAGCTGCACTTCATCATCGGCCACGGCATCCTTCGCCCGGAGCTGCGCGACGAGATTTACTGCCAGATTTGCAAGCAGCTGACGCAGAACCCGTCCAAGTCGAGCCACGCGCGCGGGTGGATCCTGCTGTCGCTGTGCCTGGGCTGCTTTGCGCCCAGCGACCGCTTTGTCAAGTACCTGCGCTGCTTCATCGGCGAGGGCCCGCCAGGGTACGCGCCGTACTGCGAGGAGCGCCTCAAGCGCACGCAGCTCAACGGCACGCGCCACCAGCCGCCGTCGTGGCTGGAGCTGCAGGCGACCAAGTCGAAGAAGCCGCTCATGCTGCCCATCACGTTTATGGACGGCAACACCAAGACGCTCCTGGCGGACTCTGCCACCACGGCCTCGGAGCTGTGCGACCAGCTAGCGGAGAAGATTGGGCTGCAGGACAAGTTTGGCTTCTCGTTGTACATTGCGCTGTTTGACAAGGTGTCGTCGCTCGGCAGCGGCGGGGACCACGTCATGGACGCCATCTCCCAGTGCGAGCAGTACGCCAAGGAGCAGGGCGCGCAGGAGCGCAACGCCCCCTGGCGCCTGTTCTTCCGCAAGGAGATTTTCGCGCCCTGGCACGACCCTGCGCAGGACGAGGTGGGCACCAACCTCATCTACCAGCAGGTGGTGCGCGGCATCAAGTTTGGCGAGTACCGCTGCGAGAAGGACGAGCAGCTGGCGGAGATTGCCGCCAAGCAGTTTTACGTGGAGTACGGCCCGGACATGGACACGGAGCGGCTGATCCGGCTCATCCCCTCGTACATCCCCGACTCTGCGCTGCAGGCGCGCTCGCCGGAGAAGTGGGCGCCGCGCATTGAGAAGTGCCACGCGCGCGCGGAGTACACGCGCAACTGCTGGCCCGTGCAGCGGGTGAAGGAGGACGTGGTGACGTTTGCCAAGAACGAGTGGCCACTGCTCTTCTCGCGCTTCTACGAGGCGTACAAGTTCAGCGGGCCCAGCCTGCCCAAGAACGACGTGATCATCGCCGTCAACTGGACGGGCGTGTACATTGTGGACGACCAGGAGCGCGTGCTGCTCGAGTGCTCGTACCCGGAGATCACCAACGTGAGCAGCAGCCGCAGCGGCAAGTCGCAGGGCCAGAGCTTCACCATCACCACGGTCAAGGGCGACGAGTACACGTTCACGAGCACCAACGGCGACGACATTCGCGACCTCGTGCTGACCTTCCTGGAGGGGCTGCGGCACAAGTCCAAGTTCTGCGTGGCCATGACCGACTACTCCAGCCCCGGGGACGGGTCGTCGTTCCTCAGCCTGACCAAGGGCGACCTGATTGTGCTGGACCAGGACGACGGCAGCAGCGTGCTGCACTCTGGCTGGTGCTTTGGCCGCAACGACCGCACGGGCGAGGAGGGCGACTTCCCCGCCAACTGCGTGTACGTGTTGCCTGCGCTGACCAAGCCCTCCAAGGACATTCTGCACCTGTTCCAGGACCAGAGCGACGAGGCAGCGGACGCCCTGGTGGCCACGGGCGAGGACGAGCTTGACGAGGAGGAGGTGGGCGCCTACACGCTGGACGCCTTTGCCGCGCAGCACTTCCGCGCGCCGCCGAAGAAGTCGCTGACGCGGACGCTCGGGCGGCGGTCGTTCAAGCGCGGGTCGTCGCGGGCGACGCCGTGGTCGCACTCGCGGGACGTGATCAAGCAGCCGCTGCTGCTGAAGATCTGCGAGGTGGAGGACCTGAGCATCAAGGCGGTGCAGATTTACCAGAACATCATGAAGTACATGGGGGACTACCCCTCGAAGAAGGCGCGCTGCTCCACGGAGCTGACGGACCTCATCTTCGAGTTCCCGCTGGCGCACGAGCCGCTGCGGGACGAGGTGTACTGCCAGCTCATCAAGCAGCTCACGGACAACAAGACGCGCATCTCGGAGGAGCGCGGGTGGGAGCTGTTCTGGCTGTGCACGGGGTGCTTCCCTTGCAGCACGACGCTGCTGAAGGAGGTGAACGCGTTCCTGCGCAGCAAGGCGCCGCGGCAGCCCGTGGCGACAGACTGCCAGAACCGGCTGACGAAGATCATCCGTGCCGGGCAGCGCAAGTACCCACCGCACCTGGTGGAGGTGGAGGCGATCCAGAACAAGAAGCTGAGCATCTACCACAAGGTGTACTTCCCCGACGACAGCGACCAGGCGTTTGAGGTGGACTCGAGCACGCGCGCCAAGGACTTTTGCCAGGCGATTGGCAAGCGGCTGCAGCTGGCGAGCGTGGAGGGCTTCAGCCTGTTTGTGAAGATTGCGGACAAGGTGATTAGCGTGCCGGAGGGCGACTTCTTTTTTGACTTTGTGCGGCACCTGACGGAGTGGCTGAAGAAGACGAAGCAGCACGCCTCTGGCCAGAACCCGAACCTGGTGTACCAGGTGTTCTTCATGCGCAAGCTGTGGTCCAACACGGTGGTGGGCAAGGACCCCAACGCGGACTGCATCTTCCACTACCACCAGGAGCTGCCCAAGCTTCTGCGCGGGTACCACAAGTGCACCAAGGAGGAGGCTGTGCAGCTGGCGGCCCTGCAGTACCGGGTGCGCTTTGGCGACGACAAGAAGGAGTTTGGGTCGCTGCCGCACATGCTCAAGGAGCTGGTCCCTTACGACATGATTGACATTATGAGCCCGGACGAGTGGAAGCGCGCGATTGTGCTTGCCTTCAACAAGCACTCTGGCAAGTCGCCGCAGGACGCCAAGATTTCGTTCCTGAAGATCATTGCGCGCTGGCCCACGTTTGGGTCTGCCTTCTTTGAGGTTCGGCAGACGACAGAGACGCACCTGCCGCAGCAGCTGCTCATTGCCATCAACAAGAACGGCGTCAACCTGATCAACCCGGAGAACAAGGAGGTGCTGCAGACGCACCCGTTTACGAAGATCTCCAACTGGAGCTCTGGCGGCACGTACTTCCACATGGCGATTGGCAGCATGGTGAAGGGCTCGAAGCTGCTGTGCGAGACGACGCTCGGGTACAAGATGGATGACCTGCTCACCTCGTACATCTCCCTCATGCTCTCCAACATGAAGAAGAAGAAGAAGCGCAACAACAGCCACCTTGCTGCCGGCCAGGGCGGCCGCTCTTGAAAGTGATGTCGTGTGTGGGTGACAGTGGATGTGTGGGTGTGTCCATGTGGGTGTATGTCTGTGTGTGTGTGTGTGTGTGTGTGTGTATGTCTGTGTGGGTGTGTCTGTGTATGTCTGTGTGAGTGTGTCGTAGGGATGGATACGTTTTGCCTGCTTCCCGCGCGTTGTTTGGGTGATTTCGTTTTGCTGGTGCGTGCCTTGTCCGTTTGCATCTCAACGAGACAGTTGGTAGCTGTGCCCTTAGTCGCATGTGGCACTGACGGGTTGTGGCTTTGCTCTGCTTGGCTGACTTCACCTTTTTTTTTCCTTTCTCGTCTTTGGTTGTTTCTTCCGCTTCGAGTCGCGAGTGTGACTGCTGCTTGTTTTTCACCTCTGTATGTGTGTGTGTGTGTGTTTGGTTTCTTTGTCTGTTTTTGCTTCACACTGTTTGTTGTCGTTTCTTCCCCCCAAGCACCATCTGCTCGTCGTCAAGCAGAGCCGCGTAAAGCAGTGGACAACAATCTGGTGTGTTCTGTGCTCTCACGTACGTGCGCATTCTCATCAATCGGTATTCATTCGTTTTTGGACGGTTGGAATGTGTGCCCCATCGCAACGACTGCCACAACACACACACACACACACACACACACACACACACACACACACACACACACACACACACACACACACACACACACACACACACACACACAC